TAATAAATAAATAAATAAAAAAAAATAAAAATAAAAATAAAAAGTTTGTTGGAATCACAGTTGTACGATTTTGTTTTACAGTTTGTTTCATCCCTCTAGTAGATATGCTGTGGACACCTTTCCTTTTAAACAGAACTTAATTTTAGTGTAAGTAATGCCTGCTTAGTATTGCTTAGGTGGCTGCAGTGTAGCAGTAAGCAGTCCTCATGGGCGCCCCTTTCTCTTTGTGTCAGCCTGTGATTTAGTGCCACAGTGGGGAGGAGGACCTTTCACATCAGAGAACAAACCACGGCTATCTTTGTTGACACGGGATCTTCAGTCCTTAAGGATATGAGCTTACATTTTCTTTTTTAATGTAGTTGCTACAGGGTCTCACTACGCAGCTCAGACTCAGTGATCCTCCTGTTTCAGGCTCCCCAGTGCTGGAATTATAGGTGTGCAGGGTCTGGTGGCTGGCTCAGCATGCCCAGGGGCGCATATGGTGCTAGGGATCAAACCATGGTCACTGCGCTTGCCTTAGCAGTCTGCTAGGCTATCTCGCCCGCCCTGAACTTACATTTTCCAAGGCACTTCATGTAGTGCTTTGGGCTACTGCTGAGGTATTAGTTATGTCAAAATTTGCTTTTTCTGGAGTCTGTGTTAATATATAACTGTAGTTGACCCTATCCTTTGAGAATCTTGAGATATTTCTATGTCCACGTAAGGTGGTATGCAGGTGAATAAGTAATGAATAACAGGATGCCCGTAAGAGACTGACTTTATTTTGTGTATTTATTTCAGGGGAAGAGATGATGGCTGTAGTTAATTGTTAGCTCTTGAGATTCTTAAGTATGAAACAGGGTCACAATTATTTAGCTCAATTGTTTCTTAACATTGCTGACTGTCGGAATTACGAGAGATGTCTTCTGATATCTCGTGTTGGGAACGAAGATTTGTATTTTTTTTATTATATAAAGTATTTATTTTTATTTTTATTTTTATTTTTTATTTTATTTTTTTTTAAATATTTATTTATTTGTGCGTGTGTGTGTGTGTGTGTGTGTGGCCAGCTCAGCCCACCAGGGGGCGTTCTGGCTGGCATGTGGTGCTGGGGGATTGAACCGCGGTCCCTGTGCTTTTTGCTAAGCTTGTTCTAAGTAGGTGCTTTAGACCACTGAGCCATCTCACCAGCCCCATAAAGTATTTATTTTTAGAAAGTAAATGTAATCAATTCCTACAGTATTTGTGCAACTTTATTTTATTTTATTGCAGTTCTGGGGATCAAACCCAGAGCCCTGTGCTTCCTAGGCAAGCTCTCTACCATTTAAAAGACAAAAGGTGTGGGCTTAAAAAAAAAAGGTCTGCCTTTTTCTGTCCCCCCAGTACCCAGTTACCTTTTAAGTAACCACTGTTTTCCGAGTGTGTATAACGTACAGAAATACAACCTATAATTTATTACCTTTTTTATACAAATAGAAACAATGTATAACTTTTGTGTTTTTTCATTGAAATAAGGTTTTTTGGGTTCCTACCATATTAGTGCCGCAGTCATTTTCGGTGGATGCCTAGGGTTCTTCTGTAAAGAGCTGCTTAATTTATTTAACTAGTAGTATGTCGATGTGTGCAGAGATCATTACTAGTTTTTATTATCATGGACAAGGCTATAGGGAATAATCTTCTGTATATTGTATTTCAGCCGTGAGTGAGCATATCTGGGATCCACTTTCAGTAGAATTTCTGGGTCAAAGGGTATGCACATTTTAACTCTGATAGAAATTTATTGCTCTCTTACTCTGTCCAGAGAGCTTGAAATGTCATAAATTTCACCAGCCCTGCATGAGAGCATTGCTTCCTCCTGCTTTTGCCAATGACTGTATGAGTGACAAACCAATAGTTTTTTGGGTTTTTTTTTTTTTTTCTTTTTCAAATAAAAGGGGGAAAAATGTCAGTTTTACATGTAGCTTTAATTTGCTAGCTTTAATTTTTCTTATATTGATTGACAGTGGCTATCTTTTTATAAGTGTTGGAGCCATTTGGATTTATAGTTCACCTTTATATTTGTGTTCTTTTTGTCTGTTTTCCCATTGTGCTATTGACTTTTATTATTGAATTCTTATTTCTTGTTACAATAATGAATTTTAAGGGGGCAGGTTATCACTGGGAATTAAACCCAAGGTCTTTGCCCTGAGCTATACCTCCCTCCTCTTTTTATTTTATTTTTCCCTTTTTAGGATTGAATCTCATTAAGTCACTAAGTTGCCCAGGCTTTGCCCAAACTTGTGATGCTCCTGCATCAGCCTCCCAGAGTATTAGGATTACAGGTGTGTGCCACCAGATTGACTTCAAAGTCCTGAGTTTTACACTTGATCTTAGCCAAAAGGCCGAGAAGCGATTAAAATCCTGAGTTTTATTAACAGCTCATACCCTCTTTTTTCTTCTTTTCATGTGTGCTATTTATATTTTTCCAGTTGGTCATTTGTATAAAAATAAAATATTTTGTTATACCAATTACTAAATATTTTGTATAAATTTGTGAGTTTATTCACTGAGTAGACATTTATTGAATGTTTTGTATGTGTTAGGAACCTGTTGAGGCATCTAGCTGTACATTAGTGAAGAAAACAGATGCTGATGCTTGCTCTATGAAACTTCCAGTCTAGTGGAAGAGATGATCAATAGAAGATGAACAAATAGATTTGTAGAAACAAATACATAATCAAGCCTTTTGTGGCTTATGTATCAGTTCAAAGACCTTTTCCAGTTACTGATTTAAAAACTATCTCCTGGTTCCTGCTAGTGTGATGCTGGTTCTTTTTTTAGATTTAATTATTTGATTCATCTGGAATGTTAGTAGGTATGATCAATTTTTCTCTAGGTCCTGTATTAATTAGAGTAAGGCCGAGCTGCTGCCAGCAGTGGACCAAAATGCGCTATGGTTCAAAGAACATAGAAATTGATTCTTTCCTTACTTAACAATCCCAGTGTGAGCAAAGCGCTCAGCAGAACACCTCATATCCACTGGGCACCCAGGCCAGGCTCCTCCTGTGCTGGGGCTCTGGTGACTGCCACTGTGATTATCTGCGTGGTCGCATCTTGTCTGCTGAGAGCAAAAAGCAGAGGGGAACGAGTCATTCGAAGTTGCAGTCATCCCCATGCTGGCACTAATGAGATCCCAGTCTTACGGACTGGTCTAGCTGCCGGGGAGGCTGGGCTGAGAACTCTCGCTGGTCATCTGGTGCTCATGAAAGAGAAGGAGGAATTGTAGCGCAGCATCAGCAGCCTCCAGGCATCGGCTAGTCATCCTAAGATCTCCCTGTGGTGTCGCCAGTGTCTTTGCTCTCTGACCCTTAGTGTCCTCGCCCTTGGCTGTCCAGTAGGTGCTGGGGCTGGCCTAGTAATTCCATTTTTATTGATTTTTTTTTCCAGTTTTCTTTTTATACTGTTAATTTCCATGTGTGTATTGGTATGTTTCTGGTATATCCAGTCAGTTTCCTTTATTATTATACTTATGCATATACCCAAATTGCACTATTTCAAATTTAATTTTTTTTTTTTTTTGTATTTTAGGGAAGGGTCTACAGGGTGTTCGGGGTGGGATCTCACTGCTAGATCGGACTTGTAGTGATCCGCCTGTTTACAGCCTCCCAAGAGCTGAGATTATAGATGCGCACCACCACGCCCAGTCTCAATTGCCATCTCAGTGTGCCCCGGGGGCGGGGCTGGCACATGATTGGTTTTTGCTGGGTATGGTGGTATACACCTGTAATGCCAGCACTTTGAAGGCTGAAGCAGGAGGATCACTATAAAGCTAAGGCTAGCCTGGGCTACATAGTGAGCTCAAGACCAGCCTGAATTAAATAGCAAGTCCCTGTCTCCATAAAACAAAACACAAAACACCTATTGAAACAAAACCAAGATACCCTTTCCCAGAAATTCCATGCTTATTGTTTTGCATATATTTATTTAGTGGTGCTGGAGACTGAAGCGAGGGCCTCATGCATGCTAGGCAAATGCTCTACCACTGAACTATAATCCCCAGCCATTGGTTATTTATTTTTTTAAATTAGGTTATTAATTTATTTATTTAAGGTTTTTTTTTTTTTTTATTTAGGACAGGGTGTACAGGGTCTCACTGTGTAGATTGGTCTTGCAGTGATCCTCCTGTTTACAGCCTCCCAAGTGCTGGGATTACAGGTGCGCATCACCACACCAAGTGAGATGGTGTTTTGAACTTCCAATATTCCTGCCTTAGCCTCCCAGGTAACTGGGGATTATAGGAACACACCACTGTACTCAACTTGTTTTTCCTTTAAAATATAAACTTTCGAAATAATCTTGTCTAGTCACCACCTCCTTCCTCTAAGGAATAAAGCTGTTATTGCATTATTATTGAGTTTTATACAGTAAATTTTGTTGGGGAGGCTTTCCAGTCTTACGGTACATTTTTCCTGTTTAATGATAGTGTTGTGTAATTCCTTCAGGAAACACAGATCTAGTGTTTCTTTCTCCTTTGATTCATGA